TTATAAAAATAAAATTGGCAACACTGCACTCACCTAAAGCGTGAATACCTCCGGCTTTTTTAGGACAATAACCATAAAAACCCGTAGTCACTAATCGTTGTGCACTATTATTATAAAACAAGCTGTTATTTTTCATTAATAAATAAACAAAAACAATATTTAATAAGACAGTTACAAATTATAAACAACAACAAAACTAACAAAAGATCAATTTATTAAAGCTTAACCAAATAAATACTACAGAAGAAATTTTGATTATTTTTTGTAAAAGTTAGTCATCAGTACTTGTTACGATAAAATTGAGTTATACCCCCTAATAAAAGAGAGGGTGGGTGGGCGGGGCTAATAGTTGCCAAGATAAGACAGATTTTAAAACATGAGGTACCCTCTAAGAGAAGTGGGGGTGGGTGGGTGGGGCTAGTACCTACTGCGATAAAACTGATTTTGGCAAATGACATATCCTGTAAGAAAAGAGAGGGTGGGTGGGTGGTATTAGTAGCTTCTAAAATAAGACCGATTTTGGCAAGTGACATATCTTGTAAGAAAAGAGAGGGTAATGGTCTTCTTTCGGTTGCTCGCCTCAGGACGTTTATCCTTCGATTTTTCTTAGTACACATACATAGTTTTTTTTCAACGATAAAATACTTAAAATATCAAATGGTATTTGGTGTTGTTGAAAATAGGTATATATTAAGAAAAAGAAGTCAATAATTAAACCCCACCCACCCGCCCCTGTCTCAGTTGTAATGAATTTTTATTCGTTGTCAAATAGAGGGGCGGAGTTTAATTGCAAAATCCATATTTTTATAAAAAAAAAAATACTACTTTAAAGATGTTATAAGTTTCCTCTTCTTCTTCTCTTCAATTGGGGTAGTCCTTTTTTTATATAAAATTAATCACCGAAATGGAGTAACTTTTTTGTTGTACTATAAAAAAAAATAGAGAACGGGTGGGTGGGGGGGTTATGTTTAACTTTTTCCTAGAGAGTTTTTTATAGGCTAGCAGTTGGCCCGCCCACCCACCCCCTCTTCATTGTGGTGACTACTCTTAATACTGTTAATTATTCCCAATATTATTGGGAACTGATTAATTGTTATTTTTCTTCTATAAATTATTCGCTCTACACCTTATATTTCAAGGGTTTTTTTTTGTTCATAGTGATAGTGACTGTGATGTTTTATTTGCCATGTTACATGCACGACATAGGTTAATGGCACATCAGATAAAAATACAAAAAGTAGAATGTATAATAAAGAAAAATATAAAATATAAATGTAAACACTCTAAACCAACCAAAATTTTTGACAGTTTGTCATTAATTTTTAAATTCTTTAAATTTAAACTATGAAAATTTTGAAAGTGGAACCGATTTTCCAATTTGGACGAATCAAACTCTCTTTCCAAAAAAAAAGGTAATGGTCTTCTCTCGGCTCCTCGCCTCAGGACGAATAAAAAGATTAATCACAATTGAGAAGGGGAGGGTGGGTGTAATTTATCCTTCGATTTGTCTTAATACATATACATAGTCTTCTTTCAACAATAAAATACTTAAAATATCAAATGGTATTTGGTGTTGTTGAAAATAGGTAAATATTAAGAAAAAGGAGCCAATAATTAAGCCCCGCCCACCCGCCCCTGTCTCAGTTGTGTGTGTTTGTGTCACAAATAGAAAAATAAAAAAATATAAAAATTGCTAAATTCCAACACTGAAACATCGAAAAAATGAGTAATAGAATAATTGGAAATCGGGTAATCGAAAAGTCGAGAAATCTAAAAATCCAAACATTTGAAAAATCGAAAAATTGAAAAATCAAAATATCGAAAAATTGAAAAACAGAAACATCAAAAGATGGAGAAGTCATAAAATCGAAAAATTGAGAAATCCAAATAACCTAAAATCAAAAAAAATAAAATTGATAGGTTATTTCGACAGAATTTCTCTTGAAAACGAGAAATTGAAAAATCTAAAAATCAAGAATTTTGAAAATTGAAAAATTGAAAAAGCGAGAAATCAAAATTAGAAAAGTCGAAAAATCGAAAAATTAAAATATCAAATAATTGGAAAACTCCTAAAATTGAATATTGAAAAAATCAAATCGAAAAATGTGAAAAATCGAGAAATCAAAAAATCAAAAAAATCGAAAAACCGTGATATTAAGAAATCGAAAAATTGAAAAAACGAAACATTGAAAAATTGGAAAATCGAAAAGTCGCAACATCGAAAAATTGAAAAATTGGAACACCAAAATATCGAGAAATCAAAAAATCGAAAAATTGCGAAATCCAAATAACCTAAAATCAAAAAATTTAAAATTGATAGGTTATTTCGACAGAATTTCTCTTGAAAACGAGAAATTGAAAAATCTAAAAATCAAGAATTTTGAAAATTGAAAAATTGAAAAAGCGAGAAATCAAAATTCGAAAAGTCGAAAAATCGAAAAATTAAAATATCAAATAATTGGAAAACTCCTAAAATTGAATATTGAAAAAACCAAATCGAAAAATGTGAAAAATCGAGAAATCTAAAAATCGAAAAAATCGAAAAACCGTGATATTAAGAAATCGAAAAATTGAAAAAACGAAACATCGAAAAATTGGAAAATCGAAAAGTCGCAACATCGAAAAATTGAAAAATTGGAACATCAAAATATCGAGACATCAAAAAATCGAAAAATTGCGAAATCCAAATAACCTAAAATCAAAAAATTTAAAATTGATAGGTTATTTCGACAGAATTTCTCTTGAAAACGAGAAATTGAAAAATCTAAAAATCAAGAATTTTGAAAATTGAAAAATTGAAAAAGCGAGAAATCAAAATTCGAAAAGTCGAAAAATCGAAAAATTAAAATATCAAATAATTGGAAAACTCCTAAAATTGAATATTGAAAAAATCAAATCGAAAAATGTGAAAAATCGAGAAATCTAAAAATCGAAAAAATCGCAAAACCGTGATATTAAGAAATCGAAAAATTGAAAAAACGAAACATCGAAAAATTGGAAAATCGAAAAGTCGCAACATCGAAAAATTGAAAAATTGGAACATCAAAATATCGAGAAATCAAAAAATCGAAAAATTGCGAAATCCAAATAACCTAAAATCAAAAAATTTAAAATTGATAGGTTATTTCGACAGAATTTCTCTTGAAAACGAGAAATTGAAAAATCTAAAAATCAAGAATTTTGAAAATTGAAAAATTGAAAAAGCGAGAAATCAAAATTCGAAAAGTCGAAAAATCGAAAAATTAAAATATCAAATAATTGGAAAACTCCTAAAATTGAATATTGAAAAAATCAAATCGAAAAATGTGAAAAATCGAGAAATCTAAAAATCGAAAAAATCGAAAAACCGTGATATTAAGAAATCGAAAAATTGAAAAAACGAAACATTGAAAAATTGGAAAATCGAAAAGTCACAACATCAAAAAATTGAAAAATTGGAACATCAAAATATCGAGAAATCAAAAAATCGAAAAATTGCGAAATCCAAATAACCTAAAATTAAAAAATTTAAAATTGATAGGTTATTTCGACAGAATTTCTCTTGAAAACGAGAAATTGAAAAATCTAAAAATCAAGAATTTTGACAATTGAAAAATTGAAAAAGCGAGAAATCAAAATTAGAAAAGTCGAAAAATCGAAAAATTAAAATATCAAATAATTGGAAAACTTCTAAAATTGAATATTGAAAAAATCAAATCGAAAAATGTGAACAATCGAGAAATCTAAAAATCGAAAAAATCGAAAAACCGTGATATTAAGAAATTGAAAAATTGAAAAAACGAAACATTGAAAAATTGGAAAATCGAAAAGTTGCAACATCGAAAAATTGAAAATTGAGAAATCCAAATAGTCCAAAATAAATTTAAACTATGAAAATATTGTAAGGGGAACCGATTTTCCAATTTGGACGAATCAAACTCTCTTTCCAAAAAAAAGGGTATGGTCTTCTCTCGGCTCCTCGCCTCAGGACGAATAAAAAGATTAATCACAATTGAGATGGGGAGGGTGGGTGGGATTTATCCTTCGATTTTTCTTAATACATATATACATAGTCTTCTTTTAACAATAAAATACTTAAAATATCAAATGGTATTTGGTGTTGTTGAAAATAGGTATATTTTAAGAAAAAGGAGCCAATAATTAAGCCCCGCCCACCCGCCCCTGTCGCAGTTGTGATGAATTTTTTTATTCGTTGTCAGACAGAGGGGCGGAGTTTAATTGCAAAATGCATACTTAGCATTTTAAATACTCTTTTTTTAAATGCGCCACAACCTCGATTCGCACCAGGAACTAAATTCCTGAATCCCAAGGTGCTCAAAAAACCTCTCCAAAGTATACCGTGTTTTACGATTTAATAATAAAATGTATAAAATGGGTTTATTTATGCAAATCCTTGTGTACCGAATGGAGATTACGCAAATTCTATTTACCTAACACACTATCAGCCCAAAAAGCTAATAACCCTGACAGTTACAATCCACAAAGGTGCAACTTCGCCTCATTCAACCAACTACCAGAACTACCCCAACCCAGTCTCTGACTCATTTCGGCGGCAAATTCCGCCACGCTACGTCACTCCTTAGCACACTAGACCCCTGGAAAAATCCGCACAAAATCGTAACCCAGCTCGGCAAATACGCCAGAATCGTCATGTCAGAGTACCAGGCACGGTAGCATCCAGCATCATCCAGTACCCGTCACGCACCAATATGTACACTGCACATTAGTGGAGACCGTTCCGTTCATTACGAATGCACAAGATACCTCGATTTAACGATATTTGCCCGACCTCTCCGCGCAAACAGCCTCTACGCCTTGCCCGTCGATCGATCAAAAGTCAACACAGTTTTATTACGTGTGGATCCAGCTTTCGGATTCCGCGCGGATTAATAACTATTAATGAGCAAACACGCCTGGCCTCCTCTCCGCATTCGTCCATAAATTAGACGCGTCCCGCAGGGGCGCGCTTCTGGTCCGCTCTTTTCAATTTTTGCTTGCAGGCTGACCATGGCCCAGCACATCCTGTCCGTGGAGCCGGAGCTGCCCGGCAAGGGCAAGGGCGAGTCCGGGGAGCGCGAGCTGTCCGTGACCTTGGACGACAGAGACCTCTGGCTGCGCTTCGAGCAGCTCACCAACGAGATGATCGTGACCAAAAATGGCCGGTGAGTGCGGAAGTGGCGGCGAATTTTTCGCTGGTATTGTGGGATCATTAACAGGCAAACAACAAGTTGAAATCTAATAATGTTGTGTTAATTATTACCAACACTCGGCCTTAAGCTCGGGCGCTAATTTGATTGCTCAAAAAATTATATAATATCATCACGACACGGTTTGTGTGCTTAGTTGGCTGAGCAAAACGGCTTTCACTGGGTAGTGGTGGTTGGGGGTACAGTTAAGCGGACAATGCGTAACGGCGGCAGGCATAACCTCAAATTTCGCGGTTGCCCGAAATTTGGTGGAAGCGTAGGAAAAAAGTTGTTGGTAGTTGAAATTAAGAATGGCCGCGAGAAGCTACAACCAGATTTGTCAATTAGACGAATGTAAATAAGGTTTTGGTTTACTCATTACGTATTGTGGTTTGTTTAGTTCTAACCGGTATCGGAGCGGAGCGATAATTTCAACTATCAGCAACACCTAGTCGAGAAGAAAGTTGATTTTAATGCACTTTTCAAACTAAGTCCTGATTAAAGTCGTCCAGAAAAGCTGAGATATGTGCAAAAAGAAATCTGTAAATAACTTGTCTTGATCAAAATAAAAAAATTGATTGAAGGTTATTTCGACACAATTTTCTTCGAAATCGAAAAATTGAAAAACCGAAGATCAAAATTCGAAAAGTCGAAAAATTAAATCGAAAAATGTGAAAAATCGAGAAATCTACAAATCAAAAAATCGAAACCTCAAAAAAATGGAAAATCGAAAATTGTAGAATAGAAAAATAGAAAAATCGAGAAATCGATACATTGAAAAGTCAAAAAATAGAGAAATTGGAAAATTAAAAATCGGAAAGTAACGTCGAAAAATCGAGAAATCGAAAATTTAGAAACAAAAAATTCAAATATCAAATACGTAAAAGTCGAAAAATTGAAACATCTTAAAATTCAGAAATAGAAAAATAAAAAAATATATAAAAATCGAAAATTTAATGAATCGAGAAAATGAATAGGAAAATTGTAAAATCCCAAATTGAAATATCGAAAAATTGAAAAGTCGGAAAATCTAAAAATCGAAAAATCCCAAAATTTAAAAAATCGCAAAACCAAGATATCAGAAAATCGAAAAATTGAAAAATCGACAAGTCGCAATATCGAAAAATCAAAACATCGAAAAATTGAAAAATATTAACATGAAAAGATCGAGAAATCAAAAAATCGAAAAACTGAGAAATCCAAATAGTCCAAAAACGAAAAATTTACAATCGAAAAGTCGAAAAATTCGAAATAAAAAAATTGATAGGTTATTTCGACAGAGTTTCTCTTGAAATGGAAAAATCAAAAAATTTAAAAATTGAAAAATTCAAAAACCCATAAATTAAAATTGGAAAAGTCGAAAAATCGAAAGATCGAGTAATCGAAAAATTAAAATATCGAAAAATGTGAGAAATCCAGAAATCTAAATGACAAATTTAATCTAAAAATCGAAAAATTGAAAAATTGAAAATATCGAAAAACCGAGATATCAAGAAATCGAAAAATTGAAAAGTCGCAAAATTGAAAAATTAAAACATCGAAAAATTGAAAAACTGAATCATTAAAAGATCGAGAAGTCAAAAAATCGAAAAAGTGAGAAATCCAAATAGTCCAAAGTCGAAAAATTTAGAATTGAAAAATCGAAAAATTGGAAGTTAAAAACAATTAAAAAAGTACAAAATTAAAAATTAAAAAATTGATCACTCAAGAAATGGAAAAATTAAAAAACTGAAAAATCTAAGATTTAAAAATTCGAAAAATCGAAGAAGTGAAAAATCGAAAAATAGAGAAATCGAGAAGAAAAATTGAAATATCGAAAAATTGAAGAATCGAGAAAAGGAAAATTTGAGAAAACGAAATACCAAAAAATAAAATAAATTGAAAATCGAAAAACTGAAAAATCAAGAAATCGAAAAATAGAAGCGCCGAAAAATTGAAAAATGAAGACTTGAAAAATCTTGAAATCTTGAAAACTTGAATCGATAAACTGAAAAATCCCAAACTGAAACAAAGAAAAATTGAATAATTTATAATTGAAAAATTGAAAAATCGAAATAGTAAAAATCCGGCAATCGAAAAATTGAAAAATCTAAAAGTGAAACAAAAAAAATTGAGAAATCGAAAAACTGAAAAATAGAGAAATCGAAGTCGAAATTTAGAAACATAAAAAATTCAAATATTGAAAAACTTCAAACTCGAAAAAGTGAAAAATCGTAAAACTGAAATATTGAAAAAATTAAAAAATTGAGAAATCGAAAAATTAATCTGAAAAAACCAGAAACTGAAACATTGAGAAATTAAAAAAATCGAAATTTTGGAAGATCAAAAACCAAAAACTGGAATTCGCATTCGAAAATTTGAAAAATTGAAGAATTGTAAAACCGAAAAATTGAGAATTCGAGACATTGAAAAGTCGAGAAATCGAGAAATGGGAAAGTCAAAAAATCGAAAAATCAAAAATAGACTAATCCAGGAAATTGAGAATTCGAAAAATCTAAAATTTTGAAACCTCAAAAATTGAAAAGACGAAAAGCCCAAAAATTTATTAATCGTGAAAAATTGAAAAACTGGAAAATCGAAAATTGTAGAATTCAAAAATTGAAAAATCGAAAAATCGATACATTGAAAAGTCAAGAAATAGAGAAATGGGAAAATAAAAAAATTGTAAAAAAGTAACAAATACCAAAAAATTTATTAAACGAGAAACTGAGAAATTGAAAACTTAGAAACAGAAAGGTTCAAATATCGAAAAATTGAAAAATCGAAAAACTGGAACATCCTAAAATTCAGAAATCGAAAATGAATAAAATTGAAAAATCGAAAATTTAATGAATCGGGAAATTGAAGAATAGAAAAATTGCAAAATTCCAACATTGAAAAATCGAAAAAATGAGTAATCGAAAAATTGAAAATAGAGAAATTGAAAAATGGAAAAATTGAAGAAAAAAACTGAAAAATCACAAAACTAAAAATTTTGAAAAATTGAAAAACCGAAAATTTAAAAATCGAGAAATCGAAAATTTAGAATTCAAATATAAAATACGTAAAAGTCGTTGAAAAATAGAAAAATCGAAAATTTAATGAATCGAGAAATGAATAGAAAAATTGCAAAATCCCAAATTGAAATATCGAAAAATTGAAAAGTCGGAAAATCTAAAAATCGAAAAATCCCAAAATTTTAAAAATCGAAAAATCACAATATCGAAAAATCAAAACATCGAAAAATTGAAAAATATTAAGATCAAAAGATCGAGAAATCAGAAAATCGAAAAATTTAGAATTGAAAAATCGAAAAATTCTAAAATAAAAAAATTGATAGGTTATTTCGACAGAGTTTCTCTTGAAATCGAGAAATTGAAAACTCGAAAAATCAAAAATTATAAAAATCAAAAAATTGAAAAACGGAAAAATTAAAATTCGAAAAGTCGAAAAATTGAAAGATTGAGCAATCGAAAAATTAAAATATCGAAAAACTGAAAAACTGCAATTAAAATGTTGAAAAAACCAAATCGAAAAATGTGAGAATTCGAGAAATCTAAATGAGAAATCTAAAAATCGAAAATTCAAAACATCGAAAAATTGAAAAACTGAAATATCAAAAGATTGAGAAGTCAAAAAATTGAAAAATTGAGAAATCCAAATAGCCCAAAATCGAAGAAATTAGAACTGCAAAACCGAAGAATTCGAAATTAAAAACAATTAAAAAAACACAAAATTAAAAATTAAAAAATTAATCAATCAAGAAATAGAAAAATTAAAAAACTGAAAAATCTAACATTTAAAAATTCGAAGAAGTGAAAAATTGAAAAATAGAGAAATCGAGAAAGAAAAATTGAAATATCGAAAAATTTGAAAATCGAAAAACTGAAAAATCAAGAAATCGAAAAATCGAAAAGCCGAAAAATCGAAAAATGAAGACTTGAGAAATCCGAAAACTTGAATCGATAAACTGTAAAAATCAAAAACTGGAATTCGCATTTCAAAATTTGAAAAATTGAAGAATTGTAAAACCGAAAAATTGAGAATTCGAGACATTGAAAAGTCGAGAAATCGAGAAATTGGAAAGTCAAAAAATCGAAAAATTAAAAATAGACTAATCCAGGAAATTGAGAAGTTGAAAAATCTAAAATTTTGAATCGTCAAAAATTGAAAAGACGGAAAACCAAAAAATTTATTAAATGCGAAATTGAGAAATCGAAAATTTAGAAACATAAAAAATTCAAATATCGAAAAATTGAAAATCGAAAAATTGAAAAATCGAAAAATTGAAGAAAAAAACTGAAATATTGAAAAATTGAAAAACCGAAAATTTAAAAATCGAGAAATCGAAAAATGGAATAATCTCAATTGAAAACTGAAAAATTGAAAAACCAAAACTTGAGAAATTAAAAAACTGAAATCGATAAACTGAAAAATCCCAAAACTGAAACATCCACAAATTGAAGAATAGAGAGATTGAAATATCGAGAAAACGAAACATCAAAACATCGAAAATCGGGATCGAAAAATCGAAAAATGAAGAATTAAAAAATCCGAAAATTGAAACAAAAAAATTGAGAAATCGAAAAATTGAAAAATTGAGAAACCGAAAAATGAAATAATCATAATCGGAAAATCGACAATTTAAAATACAGACAAATTAAAAAATAATAAAAAACTGGAAAATCGAAAATTGTAGAATTGAAAACTTCAAAATCCAGAAATCGATAAAGTTAAGAAATAGAGAAATGGGAAAATAAAAAAATCGGAATCTTGTAACGTCGAAAAATCGAGAAATCGAAAAGTCGAAAAACCAAAAAAAAATTATAAATGGAGAATTTGAAAAATCGAAAATTTCGAAAAATACAAAATTCAAAAATCGAAAAACTAAAAATTCGAAAAATTGAAGAAAAAACTGAAAAAACCCAAAATTGTGATGTGAAAAATTGGGAAAATAAATGTTAAAAAATTAAGAAAGTGAAAAATCGAAAAATTAAACTGAAATACAGTGGACGCCGCTTAATGTGATCACTTTGGGACTCAGACAAATTGATCACACTAACCGACTGATAATAATAAGCGAAAACCACAATCAGAGACAGTAAAACTCGAAACAAAACAAAATCATGAACAAGACAGTGTTTATTACGCTGGTAGATGAAGGTACATAAACATTAGAATTTATTTTAAATTTTGGTTACCATTCTGAGAAAGGAACCCTCGATTTACTTTGGTTGTTGTAGAAATTTGTTAAGTAAGGGCTGAATTTTTTTTTTTTTCTCTGATAAACTGAGATTTCGTCGTTTCGACGTGTTAATTGTTACATAAGTCTACTCAGATTTAAAATAGAAAAAATTCGTTTGTTCAAAAGTCGAAAACGCACTGATTTTAAGTCTGTTTTTGACCACTGATTGTGGTTGTATAAAATGAGTAGTACCTTTTGAGAGCAATTAAAACACAATACTAGTTTCAGTCGTTTCGCTTCTCCAAAAAAGCAATTCCCGTTTGTTTAAGAATTGCGAGATTGATCACAATAAGCGAAATATTGATCACAATAAACGGAAAAACTGTAATGCATAGGTATTGCGTGGGACCGTTCCAAGCCATTTTGATCACATTAAGCGATTGATAACATTAACCGTGATCATATTAAGCGGCGTCTACTATCCCAAACTGAAACATCGAGAAATTGAAAAATCGAAAATTTGAAAAATTGAGATATCGAAAACTGTAATAACCGTAATGGAAAATTTGAAAACTTGAAAAATTAAAAATTGAAAAATTGAGAATTCAGGACATTGAAAATTTGGGAAGATCGAGAAGAGGGGAAGTCAAAAAATCGATTAGTCTTAACATCGAAAAATCCAAAATTTTAATAATTAAAAATCCAGAACTCCAACAGTCGAAAAATTCAATATTTGGAGAATCGAGAAGCAAAATCTCAACACTGAAATATTAAGTAATCGAAAAATTGAAAAATCGACAAATTGAGAAATTGTTCTTTCTACAATTTAGGTTTTTTCCAAAAATCTTAACGTCTAGAATAAAAATTCAACACGAATTTATAAACCACATCATCAATTCCAGGGGGGCATGAACAGATAAATTTTGATTAACAATTTACCATGCTTCCGATAACCTTAAAATGTTTTCAAGATTTCAGAGTATTCGAGTCTGCAATTTCAGTGTTAAATTGTAAAATGTCAATTGTGAAATGTCGACAATTTTTACTTTTTTTTCCAAAAATCTATATTTCTAAGTTAAAAACTCAAGACGGTTTCATAAACCACAGATAGAGGAGTACGTTATTTTATAAAATCTGAATAACATTTAACAGTCATTTAATCGACTCATGACCTACTCTACTTTTACCCCTCAGACGCATGTTCCCCGTGGTCAAAGTCACTGCCACCGGCCTGGACCCCAAGGCCATGTACACCGTCTACCTCGAGTTCGTCCAGATAGACCCCCACCGCTGGAAGTACGTCAACGGCGAATGGGTCGCAGGCGGCAAGGCCGAAGTGGCCCCCTCCAAACCCGTCTACATGCACCCCGAGTCCCCCAACTTCGGCGCCCACTGGATGAAAGAGTCCATCTCCTTCGCCAAAGTCAAACTAACCAACAAATCAAACGGTAACAACGGCCAACAAATCATGCTCAACTCCCTCCACAAGTACAAGCCCACGGTGCACCTGGTCAGAGTAGGCACGGAATCGGGCAGGTTCATGACGTTCCCGTTCCCCGAGACCCAGTTCATCGCCGTCACCGCCTACCAGAACGAGGAGGTGACAGCCCTCAAGATCAAGTACAACCCGTTCGCCAAGGCATTCTTGGATGCGAAAGAGAGACCGGATAGTATCTACCAGAGGGAGTACTCTCCGACGTACGGGCAGCAGCAGCAGTACTCGCAGTACGGCTCGTGGTTTCTGCCACATCAGCCAATTTACCCGGCGGTGACGGCTACAGTGCAGTTGTCTACGTGCGACCGCCTCCCGGCTAGGACCGCCCTCAAAAACAACCGAGCGTCGCCCTATCCCGCCTTGCAGCGACCCAAGTCGGCTTCGGTGTCTCCGCCTCCACACGGTAACCCCTCCCACTATGATTCTAAGTCGCAACTAACCAATGATATTGCAGTGTATAATCCGCCAGACCACGTGCAGCAAGCCACCGCCTACACCGCTTCAAGCCCCACCTACACGACGTGGTCGAGCGTGCAGCCGCAAACCCCCACCACCATCATGAGCCCCACCATCAACTGCTGGTCACTCACGTCGTCCCCGCCCGCTCCCTACCAGCTCTCGGCCCAGCCCACCCCCAACCAGTCCCCCAGCCACCAGATCTACCAACCCGTCACCAACTTAACTAATCTGTCGTACCCCGGGTACTACAATCAAGACGTCTCGTGCACGCACTACCAGAACCCGGAGTACATTTCGGTCGTGAACGCGGAAAGTCCTTACACCCAGATTGCGTCAGAGAGGGGCACGCCCGTCGGGTACCACCCGAGCGAAGTAGGCGGAGTCATCGACGACGCCGGGAGTTCGCAGAACCAGCCGGAGTCGCCCGAGTCCAGCTCCAGCACCCCCAGACACGAATGGGTCGCCCAAAATCACATATAGTTGTAAAGTTGTAAATAGTTAATAAATAAGTTTGAGTTTGAGGGTGTTTTTGTAACTCAGTAACGGTTGCTAGCAACAAGTTTTGGAAAAAACTAGACATTTTAAAAATAACGCTTAAATGGAAATCAGCATCCCGAAATCTATATCCTAGAATTTTTTCAGGATTTTCGGACATTTCTAAATCCAAAATTTCTGAAAATTCGACATTTTCGAAGCATTTTCGATTTCTAGAAATGACTTTCGGTCTCATTTCTTCGGTATCTCCAACTATTTTTCTAGAATTGTCGATTGAAATATGACCGTTTTTTGATTTTTTTAGAATTACATTTCAAAGTATTCAAATACAGTATTTCTAAAATCTTGCACCAGGATCATAAAAACACTATATTTTTAGAATCAGAACGTCGAAATTTTTATCCCCGAATTTTTGAGGAATTTTAGACAACTTATCAAAATCTTGGAATTTTTCAATCATCTTCCAAACTTAACGAAAGACATTTTCTTGTACTTTTCGGCCATAGAAATAACAGTTTTTTTCAACACGTTGAAATCTATATTATCGAATTTTTTAAGGATTTTTAGATAACTTTTTACTACATTTCAAATCGAACAGAGATAAACTGAAGTGCGCACTTTGTTGTAGTATCAATTAAACCAAATTTTAATACAGAGTGTTTATATAAAAAATTCTAAAACGTTACAATTCTTGGTGAATCTCTTGAAAAAATGAAAAGTCGCAATTGCTGTCAATTTTAAATACAGAAAATGCTTAACGAAAAAGAAAAAGAACAAAAAAATAGAGTAATAAAGTACACGGTGTTCTACTTGAAGAAACTGAAATATTGATGTTTGAAAATTGTAATACTTAATCCAATTTTTTATAAACACTCTGTGTATTAAAACTCAATTTTAAAAGTAACGCTATTACGATTTCTTCTTTGTGAATCCTTCCATTGCTAAGAAATTTTAAGAATGTTGGGATAACGTGGCAACGTCGCATCCGAATTTCAAAAATATACTGTGGTAAGAGAATATGTAAAAATACATGGAGTAGGTATACAATTTTTGCGTTTAGTGGACTCACTCTGTAAATATTCCCTTAATTTTCTTTATTAGAAACATTTTTACAAATTTTTTGGTGGACAAATAAAAAAAATAAGTATTATTTTAGAATTAGAATTAGAATATTTCTAAAATCTTGCTCCGAAATCATAAGAACGTCATTTTTTGGAATTAGTACGTCGAAATCTACATCTCCGATTATTTGGAGGCTTTTTAGACAACTTTTTCAAAACCAAAATTTTTCAAAACATGAAAATTTCAGCTTCGAAATTTAATTAAACAAATTTTCTTGTACATTTGGACCTCCACAATTTACTTCCGATCCTATTTCTTAGAAAATTCGTACCATTTTTCCCGAATTGCCCATTGAAGTGTGACAGTTTTTTGGATTTAAATAAAAAACTACCCAAAAATTATGAATATTTCAACTAAAGATATTTTCATTTCGACCTCCAGAAGTTATTGAATTATTGATTTTTTGTATTTTTTTGTTTAATTATTTAATTAAAAAGTTTTGCGTTACGACTTGAAAACCTAACACTCTGTACAGTTGAAAATAATTTTAAGATAACCACGCTTTAGTCTTTAATTTTTTTTCTATTTCTAATAATTGATTAGATATCGAGGAGAACGCGTTTAGTAACTCCCTTTATAAATATTCCCATAGTTTTCTTTATATATAAAAAATAAGTTGACAAATTTTTTGGAGCATAAATAAAAAAATATTGTTTTAAATATTCTATTAGAATCCGTAAAAAAATCTTCTCATTTTGGTGTGGCGTTCTTATTTTAAAAACAAATTCCATGGTCAACTAGTCGACTTTTTTTCATGTGGTATAAACGCTTCATACAGGGTGATCTAAAAATGACGATAAAGCTCGATGGCGCGTTGTTAAGAAGGCTCAGAAGAATTCGAAAAAAATTGCTAAAAAAATCTCTGAACCAAAGTTTTAAAAATAACCTGAGGACTTAATTTCATTATTCTAATATGCTTTACTGTGAATTTAACTGACATATTAAAATTCCAATAAAAATTGTCAAAAATATGAATTAAAAAAAAATTGCTGTATTTTTCCAGTTCTTCAGAGCCTTGTTGACAGCGGCCCATCGAGCTTATCCGTTATTGTTTGATCACCCTATATATGTTCATAATTTTCTTTATAGAGAAAAAATAAGTTCTCATCTTTTTTCCTGAAAATCTGAATTATACGTTACGAAGTAATATATTATTTTTAATTTCTTCTGAAGAAAAACCTTAAATTGTTTAAATCATTGTTCCAATTTTGGTGTGACGTTCTTCGTTTACATTGCTAATAAACTAATATTTTTGTTTTAAAAATTATTTCCGAAATTTCTTCTCATTCAAAGAATTTTTGCGAACTAAAATACAAATACATACATACAAAAATTATGGAGAAGCCTTTATTTTTCATGAATGTGAACATGTGTGGAACGAGTCGAAAGCGAATGCTGCAGTTCCGTATTTGTGGATTCTATATGAACATCATGCATATTTTTCCAGGGCTGGCTCCACGCTGTCACCGTGGCCAGGATATTTTATCAGCTGTCAAATTTTGGCTCTGTATGGAGCGACGTTCTTGTGTAAATGTACACTAAACACATTTCTTTCATTTGACTTACATCCTAATTTTAAAACAAAATCCTTGGCCTACTAGACCATTTTTTTTTCATTTAGTAGAAACAATTCATACAGGCTAATTTAAATATGACGGAAAGCTTAATCGTACGTTGTTCAGAAGGCTTTGGAGAAATCCAAAAAATGGTTAAAATTTTGATGTTTTATCGTGAATTTAATCGACAGCTTAAAATACCGATAAAAATTGTCAAAAATGACATCTATCAACAGCGAAAAATGAAGTTGTGAACCGTTATTATTAAATTATTATATTGAAAATCTGAAATATACGTTACGAAGTACTATATTAATTAATTTTCATTTTTCTTGAAAAAAACATTCAGTATTTTTTTTAGAATCCATAAACATTTTTTTTGTTGAAATTATGGTTCTAATTTTGGTGTGACGGTCTTCAGTTAGATGTCTGTGTCAGCATAATATTTTTTAAATGCCATATGACCAAAAAAAATTAGCAACCATTGAAATTTAATCCTAAAAGAATTATGTCGACCACACCAACGCGTCCTTGGTCGGTTTGACAGTCATTGTCAAAGAACTGTCAAATCAACTGTCGTATAGCTGTAGTGCCAACACCCTTATTTTAAAAACAAATTCCATGGTGTACTAGACGACTTTTTTGTCATATGGTGTAAACACGTCATACAAGTGATTTAAAAATGACTCACAAGCTCGATGGTACATTGTTAAGAAGAAAAATAATAATTGTTAAAAAATCTTTCAACCAATTTTTTCAGAACATTCAGCTTCAAAGCTGAAGAATTAATTTTGATGGTCTATAATTCCGATAAAAATTGTCAAAAATGACTTATTTTTACATTATTTAACTGTCAGACGTGCATTAAAACAAATCAGAATTACGATTAATTGTTCAACTTTGAAGTTTAGTATTTTCAAAATTTTAGATACAGGAATTTTTTTAACCATTTTTTTGAGTCATTTTTTGATCACCCTGATATCTCATAATTTTCTTTATAAGGAAAAAGTTTCCTTTTTTTTTGTAAATTATTAAAAAATAAAGCAGCTATATTTTTTGAAAACCTGAAATATACATTACGGAGTAACATATTAATCTCTTAATTAATGTCTTACTCTCTCAAAGAACTTTTGGAAACTGAAACAAAAATACAAAAAGGAGAAGTATTTTTCACCAATGTGAGTCCAAAGCGAATGCTGCAGTCAAAGAACTGTCAAATAAAGTGTTATACAGCTATAAGGTCAGAATTAAAAATAAATTCCATGGCCTACTAAACCACATTTTTTAATGTAGTATAAACAATTCATATAATACAGCTTCCAGAATGGGCCACTGTTCTTTTCTAATAAAATAATAATAATAATAATACTTTATTTTCCAACTGGTTTACACCCAATAACAGAAAATACCGAGTGTTTGGAAAATGGCATATTAACTGTTCAAATGATTTTATAAAAAAAAATTGGCAACACTGCCGTTATTTTTCATTAATAAATAAACAAAAAAAAACATTTAATAAAACATTTATAAATTATAAACAAAAACAAAACCAACAAAAGAAAAATCCATTAAAGCATAACCAACTAAACACTAGAGAAGATGTTCAAAATTCCTGTTTTGTATATGTAAGCTCGTAATGTTTCCAAATTTTGATCATTTTTTGTAAAAGTCATCAGACAAAACGGATTTTGACAATGACATACCCTCGAAGAAAAGAGAGGGCGGGTGGGTGGGGCTAGTACGTATTAAGACCCGTAAGGTCGAAAAATCAAAATCTAGAAATTGAGAAATCGAAAAATCGAAAATTTAGGAACGTCAAAAATTGAAAAGTCGACAAGTTAAAAATTATGAAACTAAAACATCGGAAAATTGAGAAAATGAAAAATCGAAAATTTGAAGACTCGACCAGAAAAAATGCAAAATGGCAGTACTGAAATAGCGAAAAATTGAGTAGGCAATGGAAAAATTGAAAATCAAGAAACTGAAAAATCCCAAAACTGAAACATCGAAAACCTGAAAAACCGAAAAAATGAAAAAATCGACAAAATCGAAATGCTGAGAAATCCAAAAACTGAAAAATCTAGAGATCTTAAAATCTAAAATTTAAAATATCGAAAAATTAAAAAAATCAAAAAACTCAAAAATCGAAACACTGTAGAATCGAAAAGCCGAAAAATTAAAATATCGATATATCAAAAGATCGAGAAGTCGAAAAATTGAGAATTCCACATAGCCTAATATCGAAAAATTTAAAATGGAAAAATTTGAAACTAAAAAAATTGAAAAAATTAAAATTAATACAATCGATAAATCAAAAAATGGAATTAAAAAATTTTTAAAATAGAAAAATCTAAAATCGGAAAGTCGAAAAGTTGAGAAATCGAAACATCAAAAAACTGAAAAATTTTAAATTTAAAAATTCGAAAAATTGAAGAACTGAAAAATCGATCAGATCTACCAACCCGTCACCAACTTAACCAATCTGTCGTACCCCGGGTACTACAATCAAGACGTCTCGTGCACGCACTACCAGAACCCGGAGTACATTTCGGTGGTGAACGCCGAAAGTCCTTACACCCAGATTGCGTCAGAGAGGGGCACGCCCGTCGGGTACCACCCGAGTGAAGTAGGCAGAACCAGCCGGAGTCGCCCGAGTCCAGCTCGAGCACCCCCAGACACGAATGGGTCGCCCAAAATCACATATAGTTGTAAACTTGTAAATAGTTAATAAATAAGTTTGAGTTTGAGTGTGTTTTTGTAACTTAGTAACGGTTGCTAGCAACAAGTTTTGGAAAAAACTAGACGAGTCGAGTCGAAATGGAGAAACTGAAGGTAGTTCTGTGCAAGTTCTTTTTTAATCAGAGTCCGAAGGCGACGGATGGGGAGAAGTACGACCACGTGGTGACCATCGAGGACGCGGATGAACGGTGGGTACTTGACACTCAAACATGAAGTACTACTAGTATTGTAGGACTGAAGTGAAGCGAATTTCGCCCAAAACGGACAAGAAAAAAGAGCACTACAAGTTTGCGTTTATGACGGATGTTTTCGTCTGCTGCCTGATTTGTTTACTGTGGGCGACGATTTTTTCCTTGTTTGTGCGTTTCGTGATTGTGGTACCGACCGACAAGAACAACCTGCACGAGTACCTATACATAAGTATGACTAGTTAGTTTAGATGCTTGAAGTACCACAAGTTGTGTAGCAGGTTGCTTCGTGATCATCTTGATCGTGAGCGTGAGCAGCATCCAATTTGAGTCCTTGTTTGTCAAGCGGCTTGAGCGGTTCACGCCGAAGGTCGCCGTCGTGGTGAAGAAGAACCAAGCTAAAAGTACTAACGACAATTTGATTAAAAACGAAAAATGATAGTGTTTTTTAGAGTCGTACATTTTGAGAATACGGATGGCTGGTGACAAGGAGTTTATTGAGACCGAGCTGGACGAAACCAAGTTGAGCTACGACGAGGTTTTGGAGGTTTGCTGCAGAGAGTTGAAGGTGGAAAAAAAGGAAGTGCAACGTTTGTGGAAGGTCCCGGAGACGAGGATCCGCGGCGACGAAGACATCAAGAGATTCCGGCGTTTGGAGTACCTCGAGGTCCACGTTTGAACCATTTTGCATTGTGTTATTGGTGTTATAAATAAATTTATAATATAATTCTTTATTTATTATAAACACATAGTTAATATTTATAACTCCGAGCTACCAACTTCTTCCGGTTTCGAGCTATCGCATGTACCACTTCTCCCAAACTCTTACTCTTGCTAAAATTCCTCTGACAACTCCTAACCTTCTTCAGTTTCTTCCCAACAACCAGGCACGTCTCCATCAACCCTTTTCCCTTCACTTTTATTAAACCTCGCTCCCGGACGTCGAACCCTTGCTGTGCTAAAATCTACCCCAAAATTAGTCACATTATTGTCAATCAAAACCAGAAAAGTACCACTCCGGTATGTTTGGGTACTTGAATATGTCCAATAACTCCAGTGGAATCCATCCTCGAAGCTTCATTCACCGTGTCCCCCCAGACATCAAAAATCGGTTTTTTGGCTCCGATGACCCCACAAACCAGAGGTCCATGGGACACCCCAATCCGCATCACGAAACTATTGAACGAATCCTTGTTGATTTCCGCCAGCTTTTGCCTTATGGCCACCCCAAACGCCACTAGTACCCCTAAATGGTCGCTGTTTTGTAAGGGGTTTTTGACTGGGGGTTGCAACCCCGACACCGCCATATACGTGGCGGTAGCGCTTATGGTTTTGATTTTTTCAATACAAGAGTAGTCTTCTTCGTCGAGGATTTCGTCAAAGTCGGCTGAAATAAATATATAGTACCACGGTACTATACCAAGTGGAATTTTACCGATGATTTCGTTGAGAAGACGTATGCACTCCAGACCTCGTTCCTCCGAGTAGAATTTAGCAAAATTTGGAATACTGGCGAATAGTACCCCGATGTTTTCCCTATACTGGGAATATAGTTCCTCGTTCTTGTACTCGCGGTTCAGGAAATGCTTGGCGACGTAGTCTGGTAGTACATTGGTTAGAAGTTGCATGTTGGTTTCTCTAGCCGCGTTGATCCCTTTCAACTCCTCTTCGGCTTTTTGTTGCCACAGGAAGTACAACCGGGACGTCACTTCCACCAGACGGGCGTAGTACGTCGATATGGTAATAACAATGATCAAAAGTGATATCAAGTGTGTGTAAGTTTTGACAACTACTGCAGGTTCGTGGGTGAAAGACGGAAAACACGTCCTCTTGTTTTGGCAAACCGGTTTCAAAATAATAGTAGTGGTGAATAGTAGTACCAAAATTGCGGTTAGACAAAACTTTACTAAATAGTTGACCCATAAAGCCGTTACTATCGTTAATATGTAGATGGTCCAAGAGAAAGTAATGTATTGTTGACCATCCTCTTGAACGCTATAAATGTAAGTACTGGTTGCCGCCATGGTCATAATAATACCAACGAAAACTGATGTTCTACGTTTTTTGGTATGGTTGAGAGACCTGGAAAGTACTTGCGTCCACAGCGGAAAGGTCTTGTACTTTTCGGCGACCACAAGAAGTACCACTATGGTTAACAAGGTACTCGCGGTGCTCAAAGCAACTGCAAGCTCAACCGACCTACAAAAAACGGAAGCATCAATTAGAAAAAATTGGCCGAAAGTTGTTTCGACAGAACTTCCCTCGCTTGTGCGGAATTTTTCTTTTTCGTGATAACCTCTATGGAGTAAAACCAATATAGGAGATACTAATCATTAAAGTTTCACCTTCTTGAAAAAGATATGGGAGCCCTGCGAAGGTTTAATATTCTTAAAAAAAGACACTTGGGAACCCCAGAGGGTTTCGCCTTTTTAAAAAATGACAGTTGGGAACCCCGAGAAGGTTTCACATTCTAAAAAAAAAAAAAATATTTGGGGCCTCTGAGAAGATTTCACATTCTTAAAAAAAGACAATTGGGACTCCCGGGAAGGTTTCACATTCTTAAAATAAATTACATTTGGGGCCCCCGAGAAGGTTTTTCATTTTTAAAAAAGACAGATGGGACCCCCGAGAAGGTTTCACATTAAAAAAAATCACACTTGGGGCCCCCGAGAAGGTTTCACATTGTTAAAAAAAATTACATTTGGGGCCCCCGAGAAGGTTTTACATTTTTAAAAAAGACAGTTGGGACCCCCGAGAAAGTTTCAAATTGTTAAAAAAAATTACAATTGGGGCCCCCGAGAAGGTTTTATATCTTTAAAAGAGACAATAGGAACCCCCGGGAAGGTTTCACATTCTTACAAAAAATTACATTTGGGGCCCCCGAGAAGGTTTTTCATTTTTAAAAAAGACAGATGGGACCCCCGAGAAGGTTTCACATTAAAAAAAATCACACTTGGGGCCCCCGAGAAGGTTTCACATTGTTAAAAAAAATTACATTTGGGGCCCCCGAGAAGGTTTTACATTTTTAAAAAAGACAGTTGGGACCCCCGAGAAAGTTTCAAATTGTTAAAAAAAATTACAATTGGGGCCCCCGAGAAGGTTTTATATCTTTAAAAGAGACAATAGGAACCCCCGGGAAGGTTTCACATTCTTACAAAAAATTACATTTGGGGCCCCCGAGAAGGTTTTCCATTTTTAAAAAAGACAAATGGGACCCCCGAGAAGATTTCACATAAAAAAAATCACACTTAGGGTCCCCGAGAAGGTTTCACATTGTTAAAAAAAAATTACATTTGGGGCCCTCGACAAGGTTTTTCATTTTTAAAAAAGACAGATGGGGCCCCCGAGAAGGTTTCAAAATTGTTAAAAAAAAATACAATTGGGGCCCCCGAGAAGGTTTTGTATCTTTAAAAGAGACAATTAGAAACCCCGGGAAGGTTCCACATTTTTATAAAAAATTACATTTGGGCCCCCCGAGAAAGTTTTTCATTAAAAAAAAAACAGATGGGACCCCCGAGAAGGTTTCACCTAAAAAAAAAATACACTTGAAGCCCCCGAGAAGGTTTCACATTGTTAAAAAAAAATTACATTTGGGGCCCTCGACAAGGTTTTTCATTTTTAAAAAAGACAGATGGGGCCCCCGAGAAGGTTTTAAATTGTTAAAAAAATTACAATTGGGGCCCCCGAGAAGGTTTTGTATCTTTAAAAGAGACAATTGGAACCCCCGGGAAGGTTTCATATTTTCATAAAAAATTACATTTGGGGCCCCCGAGAAGGTTTTTCATTAAAAAAAAAAAAACAGATGGGACCCCCGAGAAGGTTTCATATTAAAAAAAAAAAATACACTTGGGGCCCCCGAGAAGGTTTCATATTGTTAAAAAAAAATTACATTTGGGGCCCTCGAGAAGGTTTTACATTTTTAAAAAAGACAGATGGGGCCCTCGAGAAGTTTTCAAATTGTTAAAAAAAAATTACAATTGGGGCCCCCTAGAAGGTTTTGTATCTTTAAAAGAGACAATTAGAACCCCCGGGAAGGTTTCATATTTTTATAAAAAATTGCATTTGGGGCCCCCGAGAAGGTTTTTCATTTAAAAAAAAAACAGATGGGACCCCCGAGAAGGTTTAACATTAAAAAAAATTACACTTGGGGCCCCCGAGAAGGTTTCATATTGTTAAAAAACAATTACATTTGGGGCCCCCGAGAAGGTTTTTCATTAAAAAAAAAACAGTTGGGACCCCCGAAATGGTTTCAAATTGTTAAAAAAAATTACAATTGGGGCCCCAAGAAGGCTTTGTATCTTTAAAAGAGACAACTGGAACACCCGGGAAGGTTTCACATTTTTATAAAAAATTTCATTTGAGGCCCCCGAGAAGGTTTTTCATTAAAAAAAAAAAACAGATGGGACCCCCGAGAAGGTTTCACATTAAAAAAAATACACTTGGGCCCCCCGAGGTTTCAAATTGTTAAAAAAAAATTACAATTGGGGCCCCCTAGAAGGTTTTGTATTTTTAAAAGAGACAATTGAAACCCCCGGAAAGGTTTTTCATTTTTAAAAAAGACAGATGAGACCCCCGAGAAGGTTTCACATTTAAAAAAAAATACATTTGGGGCCTCCGAGAGGGTCTTTCATTTCTAAAAAGACAGTTGGGACCCCCGAGAAGGTTTCAAATTGTTAAAAAAAATTACAATTGGGGCCCTCGAGAAGGTTTTGTATTTTTAAAAGACACAATTGGAACCCCCGGGAAGTTTTAACATTCTTATAAAAAATTATATTTGGGGCACCCGAGAAGGTTTTTCATTCTTAAAAAAGACAAATGGAACCCCCGAGAAGGTTTCACATTAAAAAAAAATCACACTTGGGGCCCCCGAGAAGGTTTTACATTGTAAAAAAAAATTACATTTGGGACCCTCGAGAAGGTTTTTTATTTTTAAAAAAGACAGATGGGGCCCCCGAGAAGTTTTCAAATTGTTAAAAAAAAATTACAATTGGGGCCCCCGAGAAGGTTTTGTATCTTTAAAAGAGACAATTAGAACCCCCGGGAAGGTTTCATATTTTTATAAAAAATTGCATTTGGGGCCCCCGAGAAGGTTTTTCATTTAAAAAAAAAACAGATGGGACCCCCGAGAAGGTTTAACATTAAAAAAAATTACACTTGGGGCCCCCGAGAAGGTTTCATATTGTTAAAAAACAATTACATTTGGGGCCCCCGAGAAGGTTTTTCATTAAAAAAAAAACAGTTGGGACCCCCGAAATGGTTTCAAATTGTTAAAAAAAATTACAATTGGGGCCCCAAGAAGGCTTTGTATCTTTAAAAGAGACAACTGGAACACCCGGGAAGGTTTCACATTTTTATAAAAAATTTCATTTGAGGCCCCCGAGAAGGTTTTTCATTAAAAAAAAAAACAGATGGGACCCCCGAGAAGGTTTCACATTAAAAAAAATACACTTGGGCCCCCCGAGGTTTCAAATTGTTAAAAAAAAATTACAATTGGGGCCCCCTAGAAGGTTTTGTATTTTTAAAAGAGACAATTGAGACCCCCGGAAAGGTTTTTCATTTTTAAAAAAGACAGATGGGACCCCCGAGAAGGTTTCACATTAAAAAAAATACATTTGGGGCCTCCGAGAGGGTCTTTCATTTCTAAAAAGACAGTTGGGACCCCCGAGAAGGTTTCAAATTGTTAAAAAAAATTACAATTGGGGCCCTCGAGAAGGTTTTGTATTTTTAAAAGACACAATTGGAACCCCCGGGAAGTTTTAACATTCTTATAAAAAATTACATTTGGGGCACCCGAGAAGGTTTTTCATTCTTAAAAAAGACAGATGGGACCCCCGAGAAGGTTTCACATTAAAAAAAAATCACACTTGGGGCCCCCGAGAAGGTTTTACATTGTTAAAAAAAATTACATTTGGGACCCTCGAGAAGGTTTTTTATTTTTAAAAAAGACAGATGGGGCCCCCGAGAAGGTTTATAAATTGTTAAAAAAAATTACAATTGGGGCTCCCGAGAAGGTTTTGTATCTTTAAAAGACACAACTGGAACACCCGGGAAAGTTTCACATTTTTATAAAAAATTACATTTGGGGCCCCCGAGAAGGTTTTTTATTAAAAAAAAAAAAAAAAAACAGATGGAGCCCCTGAGAAGGTTTCACATTAAAAAAAAAATCACACTTGGGGCCCCCGAGAAGGTTTCATATTGTTAAAAAAAAATTACATTTGGGGCTCCCGAGGTTTTTCATTTTTAAAAAAGACAGTTGGGACCCCCGAGAAGGTTTCAAATTGTTAAAAAAAATTACAATTGGGGCCCCCTAGAAGGTTTTGTATTTTTAAAAGAGACAATTGAAACCCCCGGAAAGGTTTTTCATTTTTAAAAAAGACAGATGGGACCCCCGAGAAGGTTTCACATTAAAAAAAAATACATTTGGGGCCTCCGAGAGGGTCTTTCATTTCTAAAAAGACAGTTGGGACCCCCGAGAAGGTTTCAAATTGTTAAAAAAAATTACAATTGGGGCCCTCGAGAAGGTTTTGTATTTTTAAAAGACACAATTGGAACCCCCGGGAAGTTTTAACATTCTTATAAAAAATCACACTTGGGGCCCCCGAGAAGGTTTCATATTGTTAAAAAAAAAATTACATTTGGGGCTCCCGAGGTTTTTCATTTTTAAAAAAGACAGTTGGGACCCCCGAGAAGGTTTCAAATTGTTAAAAAAAATTACAATTGGGGCCCCCGAGAAGGTTTTTTATCTTTAAAAGAGACAATTGGACCCCCGAGAAGGTTTCATATTCTTAAAAAAAATTACATTTGGGGCCCCCGAGAAGGTTTTTCATTTCTAAAAAGACAGTTGGGACCCCCGAGAAGGTTTCGAATTGTTAAAAAAAATTACAATTGGGGCCCCCGAGAAGGTTTTGTATTTTTAAAAGAGACAATTGGAACCCCCGGGAAGGTTTCACATTCTTATAAAAAATTACATTTGGGGCTCCCGAGAAGGTTTTTCATTCTTAAAAAAGACAGATGGGACCCCCGAGAAGGTTTCACATTAAAAAAAAATCACACTTGGGGCCCCCGAGAAAGTTTTACATTGTTAAAAAAAATACATTTGGGGCTCCCGAGAAGGTTTTTCATTTTTAAAAAAGACAGTTGGGGCCCCCGAGAAGGTTTCACATTAAATAAAAAACATATTTGGGGCCCCCGAGAATGCT